CCCCCAAAACCCCAAAACCCCAAAACCCCAAAACCCCACTGAGTGTTCAACTGGTTGAAACTCAGAAATTATAATCTATCTGATATACTATAACTAGCGGCCATATAAATTGAAAACCATTGAGGAACCTGCGATAGAATTATCCGTTGAATTTATAGAGGAATTGGCTTTGATTTAGAGTGACGAACACTGATCCTGATTTCTCCTCTACATTAATTTGACTCGAATGTAAACCTGTAGCTTCTGGGATAGTTTCATGGCCTAATATTGAGTTGAGTGAAAAGTAATTGATACATCTGAGAGTTTTCGTAAAATTTGAGTTAGCGATTCCACCCAAAATGTTTATGATTAACTCAAGATCAGAGAGCTTATCTGGGGTACAACCACTGAAATTTAAATTATTTAAATTATTTTTTAGAATTCTTGGAGATTCAGGATTGCTGTCTGGAGGTGTTTCGAGTAATTTCAGTGGATAGTTTTTGAAAGTATGGCTAAATGTTTGAGCAGGGATTGTTCATTTCTCAAATGATATGTCACGTATATGGCGACCACAAATCAAATACTTCTGCAAGTCTGTGGATCTGATTGTGAATCTATTTATATGACACGCTCTTGTGATAAGTTCCATTATTTTAGAGAGTCATTTCATATTAAGTTTGGAGTCTAAATATTTATTATCATAGAAAAACTTAAAATATTAATAGAGTAAGAAGTTATCATTCAAACTTCATTTTAAGTAAAACGGTTGAGCATTAAGATTATTTGAGAGATAAAAATAGCAAGGTTACCTTTTGTCAATTTTATATTTGTTGATTTTTTGGTCATGATATCTTTGAAAACACATATCTTTACAGAGTTTATGAAAAGATTTAGGTTCTCAATTATTTAACATTCAAAATTTTGAAATAAACTTTTTATAAACTTTATCTTTCGGTGTATTCTGGCTAAAAATATATAAGAAATTGTTCTTATGGATACTGAAATGTCCATCATTTATAGATTTTTTAGCCCTTTGATATGGATAATAGATTGAAGCGTAACCAAGCTCAAGGAATTCGAGCCTTTGTTCACCAATTTCCTTTCAATATTTATCAAATCTTTCTTCAAGCCTCATAACTTTCTGTTCTTCAGTACACAGACTCATCTTCCTAGCCAAATCGTGGTATGAGATATCATCCATTTATAAAAATATTTCTATTCCAGCTAAATTTTCATAGTCGGGGTTTTGGGGTTTTGGGGTTTTGGGGAG